ATTAGCCACCAGAAAACCAGTGGCTCAAGTGGTAGAGTGCTTGTCTTGAGCTGAAGAGCTCAGGGACAGTGCCCAGGCCCAGAGTTCAAACCCCACAACCAACCAAAAAAGGTTTTCAGGAGACGCTGAAACTTGTGTTTGAGGCAAGGGCCCTCCCATGAACAGCTCCCACTTGCCTTGAACTTAATCTACACCCAGTGAAGGATTAGGTGTCCTTAAACAATTCATTTTATGCTCCTTCAAGCCCAGAAGGTACAAAAATTGCTCTGTCACCGAAGTTTGGGCTGGGCCATCCTGACCAGAGGAGACAGAATGGCTTCTTGGGCTAAATCGTCGACATTGAACAAGGCCTTAGGGCTCTGGGTAGGGCTAGTATTGCCCAGGAGACAGAGTCAATAGCAGTTCAAAGGTGGGTGTTTTCTGCAATCTGAACCAACACCCAGACTCTACTAACCCAGAACCTGGGAGAGCAAAACCAAACAGGGAGCTCCCTGGCTAACTATGGCCCTAAAGGAGAGCTGTCCTGTCCAAATGGCTCCACCCAAGGGTAGGGCAAATGCTTTGTATGCCAAAGGCAGACACCGGCAGGAATTCCCAGAGATCTACCAGGCATCCATTTGACCAGCAAGCCTTTCCCCCACCTCCCCAGGGTCCACTCAGACAGGGAGTAAAATACACCAGGGAATCTTCTGCCTCAATTACCAGCTCCACTCCAATGTCACAGCTCAAAATCACTAAGTCCTGCTGGAAGGTCCGACCAAGCTTTCTCTTCTTCATTTCTCCTCCCCAGAAGAAAAGAGCCTGGTTTACCACTCAGTGAGGCCTTCTTCACCACAGCTCTGCTAGACTTCCCACCCACAAGCCAGGAGCCTGCAGCTCACATCTGTAATCCTAGCTACTCAGAAAGCTGAGATATGAAGATTGTGGTTTGAAGCCATCCAGGGCAGAAAAGTCTGTAGAAAAAGTCCTGAGACTCTTATCTCCGACTCAGAAAAAGCCGGACATGGTGCTGTGGCTCAAGTGGTAGAAAGCTAGCCTTGAGCACAAAGAGGCTCAGGGACAGCACCAGGCCCTAAGTTCAAGCTTTAGGACCAACACACATACACATACACAAAAGACTTCCCATAGCATCTGTTAAGGCCCACGGTCAGCCCTGCCCTGCCCAGGATACCAGGAAAACCTAGACTTTTGGCAGAGTTAGCGAATCTCAATGGGGATGATTCATTCACATTCTAGCAGCTCAAGGGGAAAAGCCAGAGGTCAGCTCTCTAGATGATGATATCAAGTGGTCAGGGAGTAGAGCCAAGAACCAATCAAGCTTCAAGATGGAGTCTGAATGCACCCAGTAGAGCTCCCCTCTTCTTAGGGTGCTAGGGAATGGAACCCAGGAACTCAGAGTTGCTAAGCAAATGCTCCACTTTATGAGCCACACCCCCAGCCCACACCATTACTGGAAGACGAACGGTCTAGCTCTGTTGCCCAGAAATCCTGGAGATCCTCAGCCTCTGGGGTGGCTGAGACTGCAAATACGTGCCATAATGCCAGACAAAGTCCTCTCTCTGACTTCTGTGGGGGGGCCCTGTGCCAGAGGCCAGAGATTTGGGGAGTGTGAACGCAATGTTCACTTCAAAACCCAGAAAACCTCACGGAAGGAAAGTGAAACCTCTTAACAGCAAAGCCTCCTCCCTCCTTTCTTCCCCATGCCTGGGCAGAAGCAAGTCCCGAGGAAGCAAAGCAGGGCTAGACGCAGCTTTGGGGGGGCATCGAATGACCGTACTCACATCTATAAGCAGGAAGGCTGTTGCACTTCTCCAGACAAGAAAACTCCTGCACTAGCACAGAGGATCACTACCCGGCAGGGCGGGGCCGGCAGGGCGGGGCTTAGGTATTTAAAGGGCCCTTGCAGCTGGGCTGTCTCAGTGGGTGAAGCACCATAGCCAATTCCATGCCTAGGAATTTCTGCCACAGAGCCAGCTGGCACGGTCGGAAAAAAGACTATGGAGAACCAGAGAGCCACAGTCAGGGGAGTTGAGCTTGACTTTGCCCCATCTGTCTCTGATTTCCCAATCAGAGTGAATGCAGTCATGCCTTCTGGGCTCAAGTGGGTAAAGCGGGTTCCAGCTACAGCCTCGGAAGAGATCATTCTGAATGTTTTGTTATTTTTATTTATTTATTTGTCGGTCGTGGGGCCTGAACTCTGGGCCTGGGTGCTGTCCCTCAGCTCTTCAGCTCAAGGCAAGCACTCTACCACTGAGCCACATTCCCAGGCCCTGAGTGTTTTGAGTCAGAAAAATCCACGTCTCTGAACATATTTAATAGAAAACACACACACACACACACACACACTTTCCTCCTTCCAGAGTTTGGGGCTTTTCTCTCTTTCCCAAGTATCTTTTTTTTTTGGTCTGAGACAGGGACTCAAACTCAGTACTGAAACTTTCATCCACTTGCCAGTGCTCTATCACTTGAGCCACGCCTCCAACCCCACTCAACTTGTTCCGGTTAGAAGAGGAGGACCCAGGCCCCATCAGGTACAGAATCTGCACCTGGAGGCAGTAGCAGTAACAGTCAATATTTTCGTTGCCGGGGGAAGAGGCTACTCCCTGAGGACCGGAGTGGGGGGCTGGTGGAGTTGGGGTCCTCTGAATCCAAGCTGAAAAGGTCCCTCCCAGTCCGAAGGATCTGCTCCTCCAGCTTTTTGTGTCGCTTCATGTCTGAGAGGACCTTGTCCAGACGGGCCTCTCGTTTCTGGCTTCTGGCTGATATTCCTGGAGAGGAGGAAGACAGGAAATGCAGACAGGACTCTGGCACTGTGCTCTAGCCTTCTATAGCTTAAAGGAGCATAAAGTTGGGAAACTGTTTAACCTATAGGTTTTGGTTGTGTGTGTGTGTGTGTGTGTGTGTGTGTGTGTGTGTCCTGGGGCTTGCACTCAGGGCCTGGGCACTGTCCCTGATCATCTTTCGCTCAAGGCTAGCACTCTAGCACTTGAGCCACAGCGCCACTTCCAGCTTTTTCTGCTTATGTGGTACTGAGGAATCGAACCCAGGGCCTCATACATGCAAGGCAAGCACTCTACCACTGAGCCTCACCCTGAGCTTTATTTTTAAATCAAAGCTAGCACTGTTTCACTTGAGCTATAACTCCACTTACAGCTTTTGGTGATTAATTGGAGATAAGAGTCTCAAGGACCTTTTTGCCCAGGTTGGCTTCAAACTTCGATTAGCACAGCTCAGCCTTCCGAGTAAGTAGGATTATAGGTGTGAGCCAACAGTGCTCAGTTTGGATTTGTGTTTTAAAAGGATCAATCTGCTGACTGGAAGCAGAGAACAGTTTAGAGTGATTCCAACTGTCTAGGTAAGAGAGCTGAGCCAGATAGCTTGGATGTGTGTATGTGACTGAAGATAGAGAATGGCAGGTGGGCTTGAAAATATGGAGATGGAGCTAAAGGGACTTACTGCTGGTTTGACAGTCTGGGTACAAAAGAAAAGAGTGAATTCTGGGAAGGCACATGCCATGGGAAAGCAATCTATCCAAAAGTACAGGGATGTGGATGGAGGTAATAACGGCCAGGCATGGAAGCCTGATTGAACATCTTTGATGGTCTTTTTTTTTTTTTGGCTGGTCGTGGGGCCTGAACTCTGGGCCTGGGCACTGTCCCTGAGCTCTTCAGCTCAAAGCTAGCGCTCTACCACTTGAGCCACAGCACCACTTCTGGCTTTTTCTGCTTATGTGGTGCTGAGGAATCAATCCCAGAGCCTCATGCATGCAAGGCAAGCACCCTACCACTGAGCCACCTTCCCAACCCTGTGAAGGCAGATAGCATTAACTTAAGCCAGAAAGATGGTGCCACTGTGTGCACATTCCTTCCGGTTGCCAGGAGTTCGGTGACAGCTCAGGCACCTAGAAAGATGTCTTGAAGAGAACACCTTTTGGAGTAACTGCATGGAGAGGAACATTCCCACCCCCAGCTCCTCCCTTTTGTACCTGGGGTGCGTCTTCGGTCAATCAAGGAGTCCTTTGGTGTCACTGGCTCATCATCGAAGTCAAATTCCGTAGGCATGTGAGGTCTGAGACAGAAGGACAGAAGGAAGGGTGAGGAGTGGTAGCCCAGGCACATACACACATTTCTCCCCGGCCTGTGAACTCTTTCCTGCTCTGCTCCCTTCTTCCTTCCCTTTACTTTCTGCACTTCTAGGTCCTACTCTTTCTCTATTTCCCCCTAGCAGCAGAGGAATAGCGCCCACCCCCCTTACCCCCCCTTACCCCCTACCCAGATACAAAGCAGCGAGCCCTCACTTTTGCTCCTCCTCCTCTTTGGCCTCCGGCTCTTCGTCCGATCTCTCCTCTTCACTCTGGGCCTCGGGTGTAGGTGGCCGGCGCGGCAGGATGGCCGCTTGAAGCTCCAGGGTACCGTGGGCAGCCAGCAGCTCGTAGAGCCGCTGGATCTCCGAGGGCGGGGGCATCCAGGCCTGCCCATCCGCGGGCAGCTCCAGCTCCTCGTCGCTGCAGGGCACGCACCAGTCCTCGGCCTCCCCGTCCGCGTGCTCTTCCCCCGCGGTGCTGCCGGCTTCTTGGGTCTCCTCCACCCGGGACCCCTCGAGATCAGCCTCCTCTTGGCTTCCTTCCCCCTCTTCCTCGGCCTTACTGGCCGAGACCGAGGGGTCTCCGGTATCCTCCACGGCCAGAGCCTGGAGGCCCGAAGTCACTTCCCCTTCTTCGGAAAGAGGCGCCGCGGTGGTGGCCGCCAGGTCTCCATGACTCCGGGAGAGGGACATTGATGGGCCCGGGAGGGACGGGGCCCAGCAATGGGAGGGGTCCCCCCCGCCACGCAGGCCTCCACGGCTGTCCCCCAGGCGGGGGCGCTCGGACCCCGCCCCGCGGACGGGGATCCGAGGACCCGCGCCGAGAGAGAGGCGTGCCTCGCCCCTCGTCCCCACCCCGCCCGCCCTCCAAACCTGGACCCAACTCTCCCGCCGCCCAACTCCCGCAATTCTGGTCAACTCAGCCGCCGTACACACCTGGCGCTAAGACCCGCCTCCCAGGCTGCGCAGGGTCACAGTACGCAGGCGCAGAGAAAGAGCGCGAGAGGGCTCCGCGCTAGTCAAAGCTACTTGGAAGAGGAAAGCAAAGGGAGGTTTGCACATGCGCGGAGACACCCTCGAGGGTGGGGCACCACAGGCTTCGGGGCCCACAGTAAAGATGGCCACCGCGGCGGCGCATGCGTACACCGCCCAACCAGGTTCTACGGGGAGGCGGTGCCCGGGCCCGGAGGGGGGGGAACCAAGTGAGACTGGAGGCGAGTCTCATGCAGTCTCTGTTTATTGGTGTTTCAGACTCATGCAGCATCCAGCATACAAAAAGGGAGAATCAGTTTGATAGATCTTTTTTTTTAAAGGAATTTTAGTTTGTCAATCCCGACTGTTTTTTTCTTTTTCTATTTTTTTTTTTTTTTAGAAAACAAAAAGCCCGCCAACTCCGACCGTGTCCTAGCTGGCTCCCAGCCTCCCCCTCCTCCTCCTCCTCCCCCTCCTCCTCCTCCTCCCCCTCCTCCTCCTCCTCCCCCTCCTCCTCCTCCTCCCCCCTCCTCCTCCTCCTCCGCAGGCTGTCGCGTGCACCCAGCCTCCCTCGCCCTCTTAGAAACTCATTCTAGAATTCCTCTGCCCCTTCCTCGCTTTCTGCTGCTGCGGGGAGTTTTGGTCCTTTTTTTTTTTTTTTTAACTTTTTTTTCTTCCATTACAAAGCATGTGAATGGCCCCAACTCCTAATTTCTCCAAACAGGAAACAGGTTAAAAAAAAAAATCCAGGTGAGCTGGTTAACTCAGATTAATCCTTCAGCTGCTTGGGGCCCTAAGTGTTCAGAACCTGGATTTCCACCCTTGTACAAGTCTTCAGGCTGGACCTGGCTTGCTACTTCTGGCACCCAGTAGGTACCTGGGTGGATGTGAGGTGGGGGGGGGGGGGGGGAGGAGTGTGCCAGCAGAGAACAGTCGAGCCCTAGGCCGGGTTGCCCTCTTCTGACAATGGCCCCTCTCCTTCTCCAGCCTTATCTAAGTACTGGAGTATTTGCAGAATAAATCGTGGCCAGAGGGGTGAGAAAAGGAGACTAAGGGAAGATGAGGAGGCAGAAAGAGGAAGGGGGGGGGGGGCGGGAGATGAGGGAAAGGGGGAGGGGAAAATGTTACAGGAAAGGAATGGGTTAGGTGCCAAGACAATGAAATTTGGGAGAGGGAGGCCAGGGTTGAGGCTCGGAGAATTCAGGAGGCTGGAAGAAGTGCAGAGAGGCTGAAAGAGATTCAGGGAGACAGAGAGCGTGCTGATTTTGGGTGATCAGTGCAGGGAGATTTCCAGAAGTGCAGGGCTGGGAAAGCCAAGAGGCTTGGGGGTGGGGGGGGGGGGGGGGGGAAGGAACATCCACAGGCAAAAGTGCAGGGAGGTTGGAAACAGTGCAGGAAGAAGGAAGGCCCACAGTTGGCAGAGGAGCCTGGCAGGATGCAGGAACAGGAAAGAAGCTGTAAACAAGGCTGCTCAGGCTCCCTTGGTCCTTAGGGATGGGGGCCAGGGCCATCAACTGGCCTTCCCCCAAGGGAGGAATGGACCCAGGGCAGCTCCCAACAGGAAGAAAAGTCTTGGGATGAAGGGCAGAGCCCATTCACTTATACACTGTGGGAAAGGAGAGGGAAAGGACAGACAGACAGACAGACAGACAGACAGACAAGGAAGAAGGGGAGACAAAGGAATAAGTAGGGAAGACAGACAGGAGAGAGCAGGGGGCAGGGGTTAGTAAAGCTGCCCTCATCAACCCTTCCACTCCACCCCTACCTGTCCCAGACCTTCACTCACCGCCTAAGTTGATGACGCAGGAGGCAATGATGATGAGGACCCCCCCTACCAGCGCCACGATGCTTAAGAGTTTGGCCACACGGCCCAGACGCTGGGCCCCATCCACGTCCCCCTGCTGCAGGCTGTTCCGGGACTGGGGTTAGGGTGAGGGGTGAGGTATCATGGACCAGGTCAGGAGTAGCCAGCCCCGCAGGGATCAGGTGAGAGTCATCCAGAGAGAGAGAGAAGGAGGGAGGGTGGGAGGGAAAAAGAGAGAGCAGCCAGCCCCATGGAATTAAAGGAGAATTGGAGAGGGGTGGGGAGGGGCTCAGGTCAGCAAGGTAGTGTAAATCACAGCTCCACGTCCCTCCCACCCACAGGGATAGCATAGTGGTTGCTCTGGGAGGGTTTGGTCCAGGGAGAGGCAAGCAAAGGTAACTAACAAGGGAAGTAGGATCCATGCAGAGGAAAGGTAAGGCATGGTTATTTCTGGGTCTCTGTCCCAGCACTGGCCAAGGAGCCACCACCACAAACCTGGGCCGGGGTCCCCTGGGGCTCACCATGACGGCATAAGCGAAGGCCACGATGTTGACAGGCCACATGGGGCAGAAGCAAGACAGGATGGCAAGAATGATGTAGTCCCGAGGTTTCTGGGTGCCTTCGCCCCCTTCCACCCCAGACCCTGCCAACTGTGAGCTGGGGGTGGCGGCTCAGGCTCCCTCGGGGAGATCCTGGGTGCCCACTGTGGGCCCTTCCTATTCGGTCCTCCTCAACCAGCTGCTGTAGCACTCGAGGGGGAGCTCCATTGGCTGGGGGGGCTTTGGTGGAGGGTGGTGAGTGAGGCTGGGGGGCTGGACCCTCTTCCCCATCCCCAGCCTGCAGCGGGACCACTGCTCCATTCTCCTGCTTTTCCCCTATACTGTCTGTCTGGACCTCAGGGGTGGGGTCCTCCTGAGGAGGGGGTGCTGGCTGGAGCACTGATTTGGAGGTGGGCTGGGGAGCGGGCTGAGGGTCTGACTGGGGAGCGGGCTCTGAGGTTGGCTCAGGAGATCCCTGGTCTGCTTTGGCAGTAGCCTCTTTGTTTGCCTCTGGTTTGGATGCTGGTTCTTGGCATACTTCTTCAGGGCTGGAGCTGGCCTTTGATTCTCCTCCTGGGTTTAAGCTGAGGTCTGTGGCGGGGGCTGTTTCTGGGGCCCCAGCTGGGGTCTCTGGGGTCTCAGGGGCCAACCCAGTCTTGGAAGACCCTGACTCCACAGGGGCTGGAGTGGTGCCTGAGCTTGGCTGCGGGGCTTCTGGCTGGTCTAGGACCTCTGCGTGGACCTGGAGAGGGCCAGTTCCAGCTTGAGAAGGGCCAGGTCCTTCACCCTGGGTCTTGGGACTCTCCTGCAACCCATTTATCTCAGACACCTCAGAACTGCTGGCTGCCATCTTGAGATGGGAGAGGGGAGAGGGCCCCTCTGGGGAGGAGGAAACAGCAGAGACAGTAGCAAATCCTGGAAGAGGAGGAGACAGGCTTGGTGTAAGGGAAGAGGGGCTCCCGTCCCTGCAGGCCCAAGAGGACCAGGCTTGTGTCTCAGAGCCAGTCTGGTGCCGTCTCTAGGGAGCGGAAGAAAAGTTGGGGTTTCCTTTGCCTAGGGGTGGGACATCCCTGGGGGAGATGCACTCGACTGTCTTCTGCGATGAAGAGCCTTGGGAAGATAAACCCTTTTATACACGGAAGGCTCCCCAGGGGGTACCTTCTTGGGTTTCCCCCCCAAACACACCCCAAACCCGCAAGATCCACTCTGAGATCCCAGCAGGTGCTCCGACACCCCCAAAACAAGCAGCTGTGCACACACCGGCCGGGCAGACGGGGCAGGGGCCCGGCACGCTCGCTGCACACCCTCGGCACGCTCTGCGCCCCCCGGGGGGCGCGCGGCCCGGCGGGGTTTCCTTGCCCCTCCTCGGGGACCGGCTCGGCCCCCCCCTCCCGGGGACTGACTCCCACGGCCACGGTGGGCCGGCATCTCCGCCTCCCGGCGGCGCGGCGCGCCCAGCACCACCCCAGCGCCACCCTCCAGCTCGCCAGCCGCCCGCATTCCCGTGCAACTCCGCGGTCGGTGTGTCTGTCCACTCCTACCCGCAGCCTCCGTCTGTCCCGACCTCACCTCGACGCCGTCTCCAGACAGCTGCCGAGCCCCGCCGCCGCTGCAGCAGCCGCAGCCCGGGAGGGAGCGATCCGCGAGCGCGCGGAGGGAGGCGGCGGGTCTCCCCTCCTCGCTGCGCGTCTGTTCGTCCCCCCTCCCCGTCCCCTCCCCTACGCTCCACCGCGCGCCGCCCCCGCCCCTCGCACGCCGCCGGCCCCTCCCGGCCGGCCCAAGGGAGCCTCGCGTGCCAGGCCCCGCGTTACCAGGGCAACCGGCCGGGGACCACTCGTGCCCCCTTCCCACGCGCGCCTCCACCGGGGCACCCCTTCCTAAGTCTCGGCCCCTCCCGCCAACGGTCACCAGGGCACCTGGCAGAAGACGGGGTCTTCAGGACGGGACCAGCGAGCCAGGCAGGGCAGGTGGCGCCATCCCCACAGCACCCAGAGGGGTCGGGGACGAGGGCAAGATTTGGGGAGGCTGCAGAGGAGCAGGGCGGGGCCCGGAGGGAAGAGAGCCTGCAAAACTGAAGCCTTCCCTACCCCCAGGGAAGCAGCCACAGCAGAGTACTGGAAGACTCGAGAAAGGGTCTGGGCAAAGGAGAGGAGGAATTCCAGAGGGCAGAGCAGACACTGCAGGGCCCGCCTGGAGCCGGGAAGCCCGGGAGCGGAGATCAAGTGCAGGCAGGTCTCGACCCTGCAGCGCCCAGCCCCGTGGCTCAGGATTTGCAAAGCTTTCTGCAGCTCCCTCAACACCCCTTTCCCAGGTCTTCGGGCTGTCCAGGCATTAGTACTGATGTTAAGTGGACCAACAGGGGTCTTTATTTACTGCCGGTACTGGGTCTCGAACCCAGGGCCTCTTGTTGGGGCTCTACCACCTGAGCCACACCCCCACTTCCGGCTTGTTAGTAGTTAATTGGAAGAAGTTTCATGCCTTTTCTGCCCAGGCTGACTTTGAAAGATGATCCTCAGATCTGACTCCTGAGCAGGTAGGATTACAGGCATGAGCCACCTACACAACCTGTGTGTGTGTGCACGTGCATATGTGTGTGCGAGTGCGTGCGTGCTCATCTTGGGGTGTGAACTCTAGGGCCTGTGCTCAGTCCCTCCCTGAGCTTTTCTGCACACGGCTACAGTTCTTATCACTTGAGCCACACAGCTCTACTTCCAGCTTTTTTTTTTTTTTTTGGCAACAACCTGGACCTTCATAAACCACCAGTGGCTATTCTGGGCCTGGCCAGATTGGGTATTCTCAATTTGGGAGTCCTGCCACATGTTCTTCAGAGCCCCAAGAGCCCTGCCCACCCATAAATCTATACTGTAGCTACTCAGGCAGTCTTTAGGGAAGAGACAGAGCCCCAGAACCACATGGGCAAGTCTGGATACCATACCGGGCTCAGAGAGCAATCACCTGGGGTGTGTGTGTGTGTGTGAGAGAGAGAGAAAAGATAGGGAACTTATGGGCTTGGTGGGGGCAACTCATTGAACCTGGAACCAGAGCCAGTTTTTATTTAAAATTTATTGTAATGGGGTCCGCGCAAAAGGAGGGAGTGGAGGGTGGGGAACATGCAGGGGACACAGGAACACGATGACATGGCCAGGGCCACAGCGTCAGTCATGGGGAAGAGGGATGAAAAGAAAAGACCAGGGCTGGAGCTGGGGTGGAAGAGGGAAGGGGGAGACACTGGCTGCATTCCCCCACCCCCAGGAAGCACCTCTAGTCCCTGGTTTCCCTCCTTTACCCTGGCCCCCTAAGATTCTATCTCCTGCCTCTGGCCTTAGTGGCTCCTTTTGCTCCCCTTGATTTGTCTTTCCCCTGATGGATTCTCAAGTAGAATGATGTTTAGGGCCTAACCTCAACAACCCTACCTTACAGAAGGTACAATCTTTGCCTTGCCTGCTTCTGCCCATTCTCGGATCTCCCCTTATCCCTCTCTGGGACAATCTTTTGATTTCCCTCTTTCCTCACTTCCCTCCCCCTGGGGGGGAAAAACAACAACAAAAAGAAAGCACCAACTCCCCAGGGAGGGGCAGCAGACAGTAGAGGGAGAAGGCTAAAGGGAGGAGAGCAAGGACCATGAGGGAAAAGGCTCACAAATCCCTGGGAGGGAAGGGCAGGGGGCTGCAGAGAGGAGAAGGGGGGAAGGGCAGTGGCTACTCCTGTTCTCTGCCACCCCTGCCCACTGTCCAGGGGATTTCAACACAACCAGGGGGACAGGTGTGTGTAGGGTCAGCTCTTGACAAGGAGAAGAGAGGAGCAGGAGAAACTGTTAAAACCTAGCGAATTCCCCTAAGAACGCGTTTCTTCTTCCTTTCTGGAGGCTCCTTGGTTGGTGTGTAGTAGTGAGGAGAGGGGAGAGACCGTACCAAGGGACTTTCCTTCATGCTCTCCTCTCACCCATCAACACTGAGCTCACCAGGGCTGGGAGGGAAGTGGCTGAGAGCTCACTGGCACCCCCTCTGCCCCAGAGAGAGAGCCCACAGCTGTGGGAGGGGCTGCCACTGCTGCTGCCGCTGCCGCCGCTGCTGCCGCCGCCGCCGCTGCTGCCGCCATGGGACAAACCTCACCAGTACCTGCAGTGAGAAAGGAAAACACCACCGATCACAGCACAACCTGAATGGCAAGAGCCATGCATGCCTCTTACCCCAATACTGTCCAACTACTTCCCCTGGGACACAGCCGTTGCTCACTTCCTATCTGATCCCCAGGGGCGTGAGCCTGCCTCTTACCAACAGCCCTACAAGGCCCTCCCTGGTCCAGGCTCCCTAACCTGAGTGACAGATGGGTATCCTTGCCTTCCTGAGATCCCCTAATGGGCCCTTTGAACCCCCTTGTCCCACAACCCCGTCCCACCCCCACCCCCAGCCATGCCCCACGCCTTGCCTGGTGGGTGCAGGGGTCCCCCTCAGCAGGTGGGCTGTGGCTGGGGGGCATCTCCCGGGACAGGGGGGGCGGCCCCCCCCCAGATGGGTCTGCATGTGGCCGGCCAGCTGGGCAGGGGTCTTGCAGTGCACGCTGCACAGCTTGCACAGGATGCGGTCAGCCCGCGGGGCCTGGAGCCCATGGTCCTTCACCGCGTGGATGCGCAGGTATGCTGCTGTGGTGAAGCCTATGGGGGGGGGGGGGGCGGATTGGGGTAGGGGGATGGGGGTCAGCCAGGTGGAGACCCCAGAGACGGGGCTGTTCTCCTAGGCTGGGGACGCCCTCTTCAAGATGGCCCTGTCCTCCTCCCACCACATCCTTGATAGGCTGGGGCCAACTACTCTGCTGGGGCTGGTGAGGACAGGCCCTCCCTAGGCTTGGGACCTGGTTTGAGTGGTGCCCATTTCTCAGGGTTGACGCCTGCCTACAGAGTTTCCTCCACTCCACATGGCTGGGAGAGCTCTCTCGGGATGGCCGGACACTTAACTGACGCCTAGCTACTTGAAGGGTTGACTTCTCAGTAGAGACGGCTGTGTCCCCTCCCTCCAATGCCCCAGTCCGCAGCCCAGTTAGTAAACAAGTAGGTTTAAAGCAACTTTTCACCACTACTGGGGCAGGGTGTGTGTTTGTTAAACACCTGCCAATATGTTCCACTTGCCCCAGGAGCTGGAGACAAGAACTTGTGGCTGTGCAGCTGAAACCTTGCCTTCCCACCCTGGGGGATTGGCTCTCCCCGAGACTGCTCCTTTCCCAAAGCAGCAGGCACCACTCCCACTGACCCACGCACACCCAGGAAGTTGAGTCTTTTCTGACATGTCTCCTCCAGCCATGGCTTCTTAGAATTGGTGATGTTCAGTTGTCCCCAGTGCTGCTTTGCTTGCTTCCTGAAGGGCTCTAGATGCCACGAGCTCTTGGCTACAGCACCCTTCACCCACATCCGTGGAAAGGTCACTAGCTCTGTGCCCTCCTCCCTCTGTCCCTGGCCCTCCTGGCATCCCTTAGCATGTACCTTTGTTGCAGAGCTCACAGACATGGTGAGGGCCCTGGCTGTGCACCTTCATGTGGTCCGAAATATAAGCCGAGCTCAGCATCTTGCCACACACATGACATGGCACCTTCTCTTCGTGTCGTACTGTGTGCGCCCGGAGTCGATCCTTCGTAGCAAAAGCTGCCTCACATTTCTGGGGAGGGGGGAGGGGCGTGGGGGGTGTCAAGGAGAGTTAAAGCTTCGGGGAAGGGGGAGAAGGGAGCAAGAGGTTAAAAGGATCAGAGCCTTGGGGGTCTTTGATCTGTAGGAAATGAGAGTGAGATGACAAGGTGGTGAAGAAGGAATGAGAAAATGGAGTGAAAAGGCAAAAAGAAGAGAGAGAAAAAGGGGGTCTGAGAGGCTGAACTCAGGCAGCTACAATGAGGATCAAAATCATGAGAAAACCAGGACAGGAGGAAGCGGGCTTCCTACCTCACATTTGAAGGGCCGCTCTGTCGAGTGCACTTGTCTGACGTGACTGTTGAGGTGATCCGGCCTGCGGATATGTTGGGGTGAGGATTAGGGCTGAGGCTGGGCGGCGGCGGCGCGGGGGGGGGGGGGGGGGGGCGCCCTAAATCTGCCTAGCTTCCTTTAACAGGTCTTTTTCCAAGCCACCAAGCTTTACAGTCCTGCCTGGGCAGGAAATCCCTCCCCCTTGAACCCGCGGCTTCTTCCTCCTCTCCCTCCCCCCCCCCCCCCCCCCCCCCCCGCGGAGAAGACCCACCTCCTTCGCAGAGGCCCACCCCCTGGCTCCCCGGTTACCCGGGAGGCTCCCAGCCTCCTCCCTCCCGGTCCAGCTGGCCTCGCTGCAGTGCCCTGGGTGGCTAGCCCTCCCTCCTGCCCTCCCTCCCTCCCCCCAGCCTGGGCGGCCGAGGCCCCTGCACACCGGGGAGAAGCTCTTGCCACAGTGGGAGCAGTTGTAGGGCTTGTGCACAGCGCCGTCATGTGAGCGCACGTGGTAGCTCATGCGGTCCTTGCGCTTGAAGCGCTGCTGGCACACCGGGCACTGGTAGGGCTTCTCGTCCGAGTGCGACAGCTTGTGCCGGTTCAGGTGGTACACGTCGCGGAAGGCCTTGCCGCACATCTCGCACGCGTGGTTCTTGCGGATGCGCTTGCCCGAGGCCGTGGTGGTCACCACGCCGCCGGCGGCCACGGCGGCCGCGCCGCCGCCCGTGCCGGTCTCGGGCCCGCCGCCGCCGGCGCCGCTCAGCTGGGGCACGCTCAGCAGGGCTCAGGGGGCACCATGGTGGGCATCTTCATGGCGCCCGTGGGGACGCGGCCGGCCTTGGCGCCCGTGTGGGATGGCCTCGTGCCGGCGGAGGTTGTAGCCGTTCTTGAACTCCTTGGCGCACAGGGCGCAGATGTAGGGCCCCTTGCTCTTTGTCTTCTTCTCCAAGGCGGACGCGACGGGGGCCACGGAGACCGTCGAGGTGGGGGCGACGACGGCGGTGGCGGCGGCGGCGGCGATGGTGGCGGCCGCGGGCGGCGGCGGCGGGGGGGCGCGGCCTCGGCGGCGGGGCGCCGACACGGGCGGGGGCGGCGGCGGCGGCGCCGGGGGCTGCTTCAGAGCCGCTGTGTCCACCGTGGAGGCGGCGGCGGCGGCCGGGGGCGCGGTGACCACGGCGGCGGCGGCGGCGGCGGCGGCGGCCGCGGCGGCGGACTCCTGGGCGGCGGCGAGCACCGGGAGCAGATCCACCTGGAGAGACTCGGCCGCCGGGGCCTGCGGCGTGGGCGGGGGCGCCGGCGCGGCCTGCGGGGGACAGCGCGTGTGGGCCCGGGCCTCCGCCCGCCCGCTCGCTCGCGGCCCGCCCGCCGCCCGGCGGCCCCACTCACCTGGAATGGACTCTGGGCGCAGCCCTGGGAGGCAAAGAAGCGGGACTGGAGCTCAGCCCCGACCTGCAGGGGGTTCTGGGCGTGACCCTGAGGTGGCGGGAAGGAGTTCATGAGGCCGCCCACCCCCCCGGGAGTCCAGGCCCAGCACGGGGAAGGGGGGGGGCCAGCAGCGTGCAGGGGAACACGGGGAACATGGCCTCGGCCGTGGCGGGGCCCCGGGGGCTCAGCGAGGGCCGGGGGCGCGGGCCGCGCGGGGCCCGGGCTCGGGGCGCCGCCCCCGGCCGGCCGGGCAGGGCCGCGCCGAACGCATGGCCCGCGGGCCGCCCCGCCGCCGCCGCCGCCGCCGCCGCCGCCCGCGCACCCCGGCCGGCGGGAGGGAGGGCGGGAGGGCGGGAGGAAGGAGGGCGCCTAGCGGGCCGCGGGAGCGCGGCGGGCGGCAGCGACGCCCCCCGGGTGGGGGCGGGAGGCCCCGCGGGGCTGGGGGGCGGGGGCCCGGGTCGGCGGCGGCGGCGGCGGCGGCGGCGGCGGTTGGAGCCCGGCGGGGCGGGGTGGGGGGAGCGAGGGAGCAGCCTCGGCCCCCGCCGCGCGCGCTCCCAGCCGGCGCCTCGGGGAGGGCGGGGGAGGGCGCGAGGGAGGGAGGGGGACAGCTGCGCGCGCACCGGGCGCGCGGAGGGGGGGGTGGGGACGAGAGGGAGGGCGGGCGGGCAGGAGGGGGGTGTGGGCAGGGGGTGGGGGCGGGGGAGGGGGTTGTTACCTGGAAGATGAAGCTGCTCCAGTTGCTGGGATCCATGGCGGAGGGAGGAGGGAGGTGGCTCGCGCTCACCCCGGGGCGGGAGGAGGCGGCGGCGGCGGCGGCGGTGGGGGGAGGGGAGCCCGGGAGGAGGCGCGCGGGGCGGGCGGGCGGGCGGGGGGGAGGAGGGTGGGGGGGAGCGGAGCACACTGCGCGCGGGGGAGGGCGGGCGGGGGGCGCGAGGACACACCAGAGGCTGGAGCGAGCGCGAGCGCGCGCGAGGCCAGCGGGAGGGGGGAGGCTCGGGAGGGACTCTGGCGGGAGGAGGGACGGGGGAGCCACCCGGCAGCCCGAGCCACCCCGAGCGCGAGACCCCCGAGACGGCCGCGGATTGGCTGGCGACGGCGCAGGTGGTGGGCGCGCGGGAGACAGGGCGGCTTCTCTTCTTTTCCCCCTTTCAACGATTCCACCCACCCCCCCCACTTCCCTCCGCCAGTGGCCGTTATTTCGCGCGCACGCGCACACAACACCGCTGTCGTCGTCGAGCCTGAGCAGGGGGGAGCGCGCGCCGGCGCTACGGATGGGGCGGGGCCAAACGCGAGGCGCGTGCCCGCCTAACGGTCGCCCTCGGGTCTTCGGCTTCGGTGTTTTGTTCCCTATCGGCCACCGTCTTCTTCCCCAACCCAGAGGTTTATTTACAATCTTGCCAGTCTGGGTCGTAGTTTCCTCAAAGATGGCGCCTGGAGTTCACAGGAACGGACCGTGGCCGACCCCCAGACACCACTGTATCTCAACTCCCCTACCTCCCCCCCCCCCAAAAAAAGAGTCAGGCTGCAGCTCGGGGTAGAGACTGTATTTACACAAAGCGCGGTGGCGGGGCGGGCGGGCGGCGTCAGCGGGGCGCGCAGCGCGGGCCGGCCAGCAGGCTCAGGAGGTTGGCCTGCAACACAGGAGGGCAGAGCGGTCAGGGCGGGCGGCGCCGCGCCGGCGGGCCGCGGGGGGGGGCGGCGCCGCGCTCACCTTGAGGAAGGTCTCCACCTGCTTGGCAGACATGCCTTCCACGCGCTCCAGGTCCTCCACCTGCGGAACGCGGAACGAGCGCGGCCGTGGAAGCCGGGGAGGGGGGGAGGGGGAGGGGGGAGGGAGGGCCGCGCGCCCCGCCCCCTTCCCATCCCCCCCCCCGCCCCCTTCCCATCCCCCCCCCCCCCCCCCCGCCCCTCCACCCCGCCCGCCGCCAGGTACCTGGCTGAAGGGCCCGTGCAGCTCCCTCCAGCCCACGATGAGTTGCGCCTTCTTCTGGCCGATGCGCTGCAGGCCGCGCAGGTCGCGGGCCGAGCCTTTGTTCAGCAGATCCAGTATTTTTTGGCGCCCCTGGGCCAGAAGCTCCGGGCTGAGCTCGAGGTCCCAGCAGTCCTCGCCCTGGTCGGGCTGGGAGGCCTGTGCCTCTAGCTGCGAGTGAGTGACAGGGCAGGCAGCTCAGACGCCGGCAAGACCGCTGCTCACTTCACTCCACAGTGGCCCCCCTCTCTCCCAGTTAAGGGGAGACCCAGTGACGTAGTAGACATGAAGCACAGAGCACACTCTTACACCTCCCTCAGGCTAGGAGGTGCAGCCCCACTAGAGGTCCCGGGCTGGAGGAGATAGCACGGGGGGGGGGGGGGGGGGGGGGAGGCAGTCAATACCACCGCCCCCACCTTGAGTCCTCACCGTTGTGGGAGTGCTTCTAGTCTGTCACTTGGGGTGCAGTGTAGGTGTGGGGGGCAGTACTGAGATTGAGTCCTTAGGTCATACTAAGTTTGCAGAGCAGGCAAGAGCCAGGCTACTGAGTGGGCAGACATCCTTTCCGCTGGATACAGCCACACCACTGCATTTCTCCCTAAAGGCTGTGGAGGCACCATCACCCCCATGTAGAGGGGTAGAGCTGCAAATATTGGAGCTAGCAGGCTGTGAGATAAGGCCAGTGCTCTTCCCCTAGAACTCAACACCCCTAACTAAATTCACTACCCCTAAAGGGTCCTGGCTGAAAATGTAGCTTGGACTCCCAATGTCACCTTTCTTTTCCGGCCTTTCTTCTTCAGGATGTGGATCGTGGCATTTGGGGATGCTGCCTGTTCCTGAACTGAAAGCAAGAATTGCAAGTGAGCCAGATCACAAGCTCCCTTGTAGCTACTAGCTTCTCCTGAGATCCCCTCCACTCTTGTATGGTCAGTCCTGGGACCTAACTCAGGGCCTAGGCCACTGCCCCTGAGGTTTTGTGCTGAAGGCTAGCACTCTACCACTAGAGCCACAGTTTCACTTGGGCTTTTTTTGAAGTTTTCTCCAATTAACTACCAAAAAGCAGGAAAGCAGGGCTCTCTTGCTCAGGCTAACTTTGAACCAAGATTTTCAAATCTCAGCCTCCCAAGTAGCTAGGATTACAGGCATGAACCACTGGCAATCTGCTTGAGTTAACTTTTTGTGGCTCCCACAAGACCAGTAGGTCTTAGTTGTTCTTGAGTTATAATCAGTCTGCCCCTGACTGTTCTTTCACACCAAGGGCAGAGCCCCAGTGCTCCTGCAGATCGTCCTCAGTCCTCCTTAGGGCTAGCATGTGCTAGGAGGATATGAATAACATGAGGACATCCCTCCCTCATGGGACATGGGTTTTCTGGGCCCTGCTTACTTACGTAGCTGTAGGGGCATTACCACAGCCTTTTTCAGAGGCTTTGCCACTGTGACTGTGCGACCGGGAAGGGGTCGGAGCATTGTAAGGGTGCAGTTTTCCTTCCCCTTTGTGTGTAAAGCTTCCTGAGACATCATCTTGGCTTCCAGTTCTTTTTGCTTCATCTTAAGCCTCTGTTGGAAAGGATCAGGGAGAGATGTGACCCAGATCACACTGCATGGCAGCTGAGTAAGAAGGTGAGTAATCAGAGCTTCTGAGGTTGAAGAAAACAGGGATTGAACCAATAGAAGAGGCTATTAGGAAACAGATGGAGACTGTTTCTAATGATCAGGGGGCTGTCTAGCAGTGGAAAGACTCTGGAAATGCTGAAGAAAGATTTGTTCTCAGCATGAGCTAGGTTTTTTTTTTTGGTCCGGTCGTGGGGCCTGAACTCTGGGCCTGGGCACTGTCCCTCAGCTCTTCAGCTCAAGGCTAGTACTCTACCACTTGAGCCACAGTGCCACTTCCGGCTTTTTTTTTTCTTTTTGCTTATGTGGGGCTGAGGAATCGAACCCAGGGCCTCGAGCATGCCAGGCAAGCACTCTACCACGAGCCACCTTCCCAGCCCCTAAGCTAGATTTTTATGTGTGTAAGTTTTTGTTTTTTGTTGGTCATGGGGCTTGAACTCTGGGCCTGGGCACTGTCCCTCAGCTCTTCAGCTCAAGGGGAGGGCTCTACCACTTGAGTCACAGCACCACTTCCGGCTTTCTGGTGGTTTATTGGAGATAAGAGTCTCTTGGACTTTGCTGCCTGGGCTAGCTTTGAACCTCGGTCCTCAGATCTCAGCCTCCTGAGTAGCTAGGATTACGGGCGTGAGCCACCAATGCCCAGTTCTTTTATTTGGTATCTTTCCTTTTACCTCTTCACATCAAATTGTGATTCTTTTTCAGAGTTCAGCTATGTCAAGGACATTTGAAAGGCAGTAAACATGCAGTGTTGGGTGAAAACTGGACTCCAGATAGCAGTCCTCTGTGTCCAAAGAGCCTAGAACTGCTCCTCAAGGCTATAGGAATCCTAGCCCACCTTACTTCAGCACTTACTTCAATCTCCAAGTCTTTCTGCTCCACTGTCTTAATGAGCTCCATCCGCTCTCGCCTGGGGGTACTCAGGAGAGAAGTCCCTTGGCACCCTTGGGAGCCCAGCAATTGGTCCAGGTTGAGGAGGCGCTCTAGCATGGCTGGGTCCATGTTGCTTAGCTTCTGCAGGGGACTTAGCAAAGAGGTTATAGTTATTCTCTATCTTCCTTCTATTTCACCACCTTCACCAACAGGACTCTTTTTTTGTTTTTTGTTTTGGTCAGCCATAGGACTTGACCTCTGGGCCTAGGCACTGTCCCTGAGCTCTTCAGCTCAAGGCAAGTGCTCTACCACTTGAGCCACAGTGCCACTTCGGGTTTTCTGGTGATTTACTAAAGAGTCTCACATTCTTTCCTGTCCAGGCTGGCTTTGAACTGCGATCCTCAGATCTCAGCCTCCTGAGTAGCTAGGAATACAGGCATGAGCTACTGGCACCCAGTTTGAGATCCCTTTTTATCATGTCTTAACTTGATAAATCTTGTTCAAGAACCCTAATGTTCATTTGCCAAACAAGTCAACCAAAAAGCAGGTCTTGAGTTCAAACCTCAGCATTGGCACCAAAAGAAAAAGATGCACTGTAATTATATATAGACATGTTGAACTGAAACCTTTTTGTACAACTACTTAAATAAAAAACTTTTAAGTCAGTTTGATGCCTCCTTTCCCACAATGCCTAGTTTGTGCAGCTTCTTTGCTCTACTGTGAACTAGATTCTCAAGACTGTCCTGCTCTTCATGTGTAAATGTGCGGAACAAATGCTTTCAGTAATTTTTTCCTTGGGGCTCACAGAATAAGCAGATTCCTCCCTAATTCTCTCCAGATTATCTACCTGGCATCATACACACATGTTTTTACATTTCCCCTTGTGAAACATAAACCTCTAAGGCCAGAGCCTATCTAGGTCAGACAAACCCCATCTTGGAGTCTGTCCTAGGCTATTGCCTTTTTGGCAAAGAGTTTGCCTATTCAAAGTAATGCAGTTGTTTGTTTCAGTTGTGTACAAACTGAAGGGATTATTGGCACATGCTTAGAAAAGAACAGAATGACATGAGGCTATGAGTGTATTAACACTTTTTGTGTATAGCATCTCCCTCAACTAGAACCAGCCCCCTGGAGCAGAATTGTACACTTAATTCTTTTTTTTTTTTTTTTTTTGGGGGGGGGGGGGGGGGTCCGGTTGTGGGGCCTGGGCACTATCCCTCAGCTCTTCAGCTCAAGGCTAGCACTCTACCACTTGAGCCACCTTCCCAGCCCTTGTACACTTAATTCTTAGCCTTCTTGGGTCACTTCTATTTAGCATTTACATGGTTTAGAATTTTTTTTTTTGTCTTGTCAGTCGTGGGTGTTGAACTCTGGGCCTGGTGCTGTCCCTCGGCTCTTCAGCTCAAGGCTAGCACTCTACCACTTGAAACACAGCGCCACTTCCAGCTTTTCTGTTTATGTGGTGCTGAGGAATCGAACCCAGGGCCTCATGCATGCGAGGCAAGCACTCTACCACTGAGCCAACCTCCTAGCCCATGGTTTCGAGTCTTTAGGATAGTGGTAGAAACAAGGCAAAACTAACACTGCAACTGACTCCTTGGAGTCAATGGCGATAGAGAAAGCAAGACTACTGAACAGAGGTGATTGAGCATCAGTATACACTGGGTATGAGGTAGAGTGATCAGAACTATACACTAGGCATGGGCAATCAGAACTGGAGGGGGAGGCTATTCAGGATCTGAGAGAGGCTTCTGGCTTCCTTAGACCCCTAAAGCACATGGGAACCCAGAACCTTTGCCTAAGGGTTGGGAATTATTAGGCAATCATGTATATTCCCCAGAGCTCACAAAGAATAAAGGCAGCAGATAAAAGCTGCCATTTTTAAGTTTTTAACTCCCATTTCCTGCTTGGGGAGTAGCAAATGTTTATTATAATAAACTCACTTTCCCACTTCAAAAAAAGAGGCTTCCTTAGGATGGCGGGTAGAAACACAATTATGTTAAGACAACCACCTCCTTGAAGACCACCCTGCTGTAGAGGGTGGTCTCTAGCCCAGAGAGGTCTGGGCACATTTCTCCATCTTCTGTCTCCTTTGAGTTGCTGTTATCCTTGACCTGAAAGATCTGATCCAGAAGCAAAAATGCTCCTTCAGATGCCTCAAAAATGTGAGCATTTGTTCATGGCACAGAGGTTAGAAAATGAAAAGAGGGAGACCAGAGGTGCAAGAAAGAAGCCTCTCTGGGTTCCCAAGACAGCAATATTGAGTATAGGTACATCTTGCCACTTTAGTGAATTATATAGAGGAGGACCTGGAATTAATTCACTGGGCAAGGAACACGTTCACAGTTGTCTCAGCTGAAGGATCTGACAGGCTAAACCCACAACTGCTACACAGACATCCCAGCTCTACCTGCAGGGAAGGGGGTACACTTGAGTCCCTACTGCTTACCTGAGCTTCTGGGAGGCAGGGGCAGGAGCTGCTGTGGGTTCAGGACTCTCAATCTCTTCTTCCTCAGAACTTCGGGCTTTCTTTGCCTCTGATGGGCCTAGCAACTCTTTCTGGGACAGCTTAACAGGTGCCAAGGCTAGGGAAAGATTGGAGGAGATATAAAGGGGAATGGAGTTGTCAGCCTGTGCTGATACATGGTAGCTTCAGAAGACTCTTCCTCCAAACATGGCCTTTCCACTCCTGCCTACCCTAGTTCTCACCATGAGGCTGAAGGCTTTCATTGGTGAAAGGCCTGTTGATCACCTCCTTGGACCTAGCAGCGAAGTTGAGTGCAGAGACTGTGTCTAGATAGAAGCGTCTTTCAGGGGCAATGTTGGCAATGAGGATGCTGTGGGCTGAGCCACCCAGAGAGTCCTGAGGGGTAGAGAATGAAGTGGATGGATCAGAATCTCAATCTTCTCATTGCTTGGTTGTTATGCCCTTGCCCCGCCCCACCCCCAGAAAGCCTCAGAACCACCTCATCCAGCCCCTTTTGCCCGGACATGGGTGGGCCTGACCTGCAATAGTCGAGTGAGCTTGCTGTCCCTGTAAGGCACACGAGGGAGGCCCTTGTTCAGTGCATCCACCACCTTGCCCAGTACAAAGAGAGAGGTATTGATGGCTCCACTCTCTTTGAGCCGAAGGCCCTGGTTGCCAGTGCGCCGGTTGTCCTCTGAGCCAGCCAAGTCAATCAGGTAAAGTTTTCCTTCCCGCTGGCGAAATGGGGCCAGACGCTCCCGCTGATCCACCTGAGGGATGGGCAAGAACCCCAGGCTTAGCTCAAGCTCCATGGGCCTCCCAGATCCTCACCTGCCCTCTGTCAGTGGGCTTCACCTTGACTAAGAGCACTGCATGACTGCGGGAGGAGCGCTGATTGAGACGGGTAGCTCCTACAGTCCGATTTCCACTGGCTGGCAGGAAGTGTCGCTCAAAATCAACAAAGCTAGTGATGGGCTTCTGCTTAAGGCCTGGAATCAGGATGTTTCCCCGATAGTCTTCTCGGATCACTAGGTCTCCTGATGCAGGGTCCAAGAGGTCTAATACCTATTTAAGCAATGGCAAGTAAGGCTAATTCTCCATATATAGGCTGCTTTGCTTCTAGAGACCAGTCTCCTTTTTACTCTGTTGACTTCCACAGTTGTCCCATCTGCTACCCCAATTATATCTTTCCAAGTCTCACCTAACCTCTTTACTAGAGCAGAACCCTGTCTTACTTTTGATATTTTGTCTCCTCCATCCCCAACCAGAGGTAGGCTTTACCTTTTCCTGGTAGATCTCTAAGTAGGACATAGTGACAGAGAGGTCCCATGGCCGGCCCTCAGCGCCTTCCTCCCTTGTGAGCTGTAGGAGGTCCATGAGAGCCCGGGGAATTACTCCTGGTTGTTCTGGGCTGCCCAGCATTGTATGTGTCTTTCCTAGGTGAAGAGTACAAAAACTAAAGTTTTCTTCTTTTCCCTAACCCTTTTTGGCTATGGTTATTCCCTTCAGGCTTTCTTACCTGCCCCAGTAGGTCCATAGGCCAGCACACTGGCATTCTGCCCTTCCAGCAAGTGCCTTAGGATGGGCTGCACTGAACCTGCATAGATATCCTGCTGAGAGCTCCTCTCTCCATAGAAGGCATCAAACCTGGAGACAGGCAGATTGGAAGGCATTAGCACAGGATTCTACTGATACCCAGACTTAAAAGATAGTTGCTTCAAATTTAAAAGAAAATATTCCTTATACAAAGACTACAAATATCCACTGAACACATACTGTTCTAGTCTCTACTGGAGTTAGGGAAAGTGAAATGAATCTGATAATGCTCTTGGAGGATTTGCAATCTTGTGGGACAAATACCTATAGCTCATTGTGACTCAAGAACTAAAGATGAGAATGCATTAGAATAACGAATTTTGTTGCAGGAAAGATGGAAATATAGCAAACAGTCAAGACATGGTGTAAAAAAATGGACTTTTTAATCTTTTTTACATGCAGCACATATAGAAATATCTGCAAGCCAGGCACTGGTGGCTCACACATGTATCCTAGCTACTCAGGAGGCTGAGATCTGAAGATTATGGTTCTGTGAGATTCTTATCTCCAATAAAAATGCTCAGAAAAAGCCAGAGGTGGCTCAAGTGATAGAGCACTAGCTTTGAGCAAAAGAAGCTCAGGGACAGCACCCAGGCCCAGAGTTCCAGCCCAGGCCCGGCAAAATAAATAAATAATAAAAAAATAAAGAAACATATCATCTGCTTATCAAAGAGGTAAAAAAGATGACACTGCTTATAAACTGATCTAGATTGAAGACAACTGTACACCTATTCACTGCATTCCATAGGGGAAGCTATGGTTTAGATTACAACAGGAAATTTAGTACATATTGATAAGTAAAGCTGTAGAGAAATTGAAGCCAAATTATTAAGGGCCAAGAATTAAGAACCAAATAACTTTTTGCAAAGAGACAGTAAATACTTTCAGCTTTGTGGGTCATGTAGTTCTTTTCAAAACAACTTAATTCTGGGACTACTCAAAAGTAGCTACAGCCAGGTGGCTCATGCCTGTAATCCTAGCTACCCAGGAGGCTGAGATCTGTCTTATAGTTTAAAGCAGCCAGGCAAGAAACTTCTTGAGACTCTTATCTCTAATTAACTAGAAAAAAGATGGAAGTGGAAATGTAGCTCAAGTAGTGGAATGCCAGTCTTGAGTTAAAAAAAAAAATCTTAAGGAAACAATGCCAAGGTCCTGAGTTCAAGCCCCAGTATGGGCAACAGCACCCCCACAAAAAAAAAAAAAAAAAAAAGCAGCTATAGACAATAGGTAGATAAACAAATACAACTTTATTTACAAAAGGATTCCAGAGGCTTCCCAGCCCCTGGCTATGTTCTCTCACCATACATCCCCCAGGCAATTCTTGTGACTCCTCTCATCCCCTTTGTAGTTTTATGTCTGATTCCGCTTCCAGTCTTTCCCTACAGTATCTCACGGAGGACCTATCACTGTTTGCACCACAAATATTTCCCAAACAAATGAAGGTTCAAAAAACAAAGCTGTGTTAAGGAGGGAGCAGAATCCTGGAAGGCTAGTGTGAGAAACTAGGCAGTATATAATAATGTGAGCAGACCGAAGAGAGGGATGGAAGAGTGGCCTGAACCTTACTGGTATTTCAGAGTCTCTTGGTAATTCCTCCAGTTGGCAACCTCAAGAGAGCAGCTGTCTAAGCCTCGTACGCAGGGGGGTTCACTTGCTCCAGCTGCTCCTTCCACAAATGGCCGAAGTCTCACAGCCACCCTTACTCGAGCTGGAGGTGGACGTCGGCCACTCCCCATCTTGCTTAGATGACAGCGACTAGCCCCTGAAGGAGAGAAGATGAGTTTTAAGCATGAAAGGATGATGGTAGCAGAGATGAAGCACTTTCTACCCTGAACATGCTGTGGGCACACCTCAAACTCAGCAGTAACAGCAGGTTGAGTGGGGTGCAGAGCAATGTTCACAATCACCTGGGTGATCTTATTAAAATTTGGATTCAGTGTTAGTTCCTGGAACAATATCTGAAGATTTTGCTTCCTCTGTACTGGGATTTAAACTCAGTTTTATACTTGCTAGGAAGGTGTTCTACCACTTCAGCCATTGCCCCAGCCCAACAATGGTTTCTCTTGATGGAAGGAAAGGGAGGATCATGTGAGTGAATGTGTGTGTTGTTGTTGTTATCTAGTTCTGTAATGTTTTTCATTAAAAAAAAAAAAAGATACCATGATATCCTTCTTTGGAAGGGATCAGGTTGAAGAGCAGTCCCCAATAGTTGCCTGTCCTAGTTCACTCTGCAAAAGGTACTGATATACAGCTCTTTTCTAATAAGCTTCACTTGCTTCTGATGACTAAATCTAAGCCATATGAAAAACAACAACAACAAAAACCAAACACAACATATGGATTCTTTTGATCACCAGAAAACATAATGAAGATAAAACTAAAAACAAACAAATAGCTGGGCACTGGAAGCTCATAGCCACCTAGTAAAAGCAGCCCAGGCCAGGAAATTACATGAGACTCTTATCTCCAATTAATCATCAAAAAGTCACAAGTGGTACTGTGGCTCCAGTGGTAGAATGTTAGTTTTGAGGAAAAAGCTAAAGGACATCACTTAGGCCCTGAGTTCAAGCCCCAGTACTGGAGTATACATGTGCATACCTCTTACCACAGTTTCCTAGGCATTCTGGTCCTAAGATTACAAGCATGTGCCACCATATAAGGAGTTGACTCTTTTTTTTCCTTTTTTTTTTTTTTTTGGCTGGTTCTGGGGACTCAGGTCCTAGGCACTGCCACTGAGCTTCTTTTGCTCAAGGCTAGTGCTCTACCAATTGAGCTATATCGCCACTTCCAGCTTTTTCTCAGTAGTCTGTTGGAGATAAGGGTCTCATGGATTTTCTTGGCAGGGCTGGCTTCAAACTGTGATCCTCAGATCTCAGCCTCCTGAGTAACTAGGATTACAGGTGTGAGCCACTAGTGCCTGATTGACTCTTTTTGTTGTTGTTGGTTGTGGGGCTTGAATTCTGGGCCTGAGCACTGTCCCTCAGCTCTTCAGCTCAAGGCTAGCACTCTACCACTTGAGCCACAGCATCACTTCCTCTCCTTTTTGTATGAAAAATACAGCAAGAGGGTATCTTTGGCCTTTTTTTTGGGGGGGGGGGGGGGAAGGGGAGGGTTGTTGGTCATGGGACTTGAATCTGTGCCTGGACGCTGTCCCTCAGTTCTTCAGCTAAAGGCAAGTGCTCTACCATTTGAGCCACTGTGCCACTTCCAGTTTTCTGAGTGGTTTTTTTGGAGATAAGAGTCTCACAGACTTTCCTACCTGGGCTGGCTTTAAACTGAGATCCTCAGATCTCAGCATCTTGAGTACCTAGGATTACAGGTGTGAGCCACGGGTGCTCAACCTCTTTGGCCTTCTTTATAACATTAGGTGTTCTTCCAATTCAAAGCCTACCAATTTTTTTGAAATCCACTTCAAATATTTTCTTGTTTTTATTTTTTGGTCTTGGTATTAGAACTTGAACTCAGGACCAGATGGGCTCTCTACCACTTGAGCCACACCTCCAGTTCGAAATATCACTTTCTTAATGAAGCGCCCCAGCATATCCAAGGGTATATATCAGATTCTACACTATAGCAGCTTATAGATACCGTCAAGGTATTACACTTGTTTATGAGACTACTGAAACAGACTAAGTTCTTCTAGGGAAGGAGCAAGGGCACTTTAATACTTACCATGAATCAGTGGGTCTAAGAAGGATGAAGGGAGCTTATGTCTAGGCAGGAATACTTGTACATAATAGTTAAAGGGCAGAAGTTCTCGAATCAAATTGCCTGAATGTGAATACAGGCCCCAATATTTACTAGTTACGTTAAATGTGAGCAAGCTATTTAACACAATAATGCCTGGCTTCCCCTGGCACTTAGCAAGGAAGGGCTCAATATGGGTTAGACATGCTCCTACATGTTTTTGTTTCCCCTAGGAGCCTGAGGACAGGAAGGATGATCACAGACCCAATTCTCCACTACCGGCTTTCCCAGCTTGGGCTGGCTTTGAACCTCGATCTTCAGGTCTCAGCCTCCTAAGTAACTAGGATTAGACGCATAAGCCACAGATGTCGGGCTTCCAACCCTTTTCTGTGATCACATACTGCCACTATCCTCACTTTGCAGACGAAAGTGAAGCTCACAAAGGGAAAGGTTGAAGCCAAACGCTTGGGCCTGGCGGGGCGTCCACTTAGGTCAACTGACCCGAGCACAGCACCGGAAAACAGCGCGGCACGGGCGGCCTGACGCCCGGGGACCCCCCCACCCCCGCCCCGGCCCCACCCTGGACTCTCCCAGACAGCCGCGGAGCCGGGGCCAGACTCCGACACACTGCCCTGGGAGGCTTCTAATCTTCAGTACCCCGTTACGCCTGCGTACCTGAAGCGGCCGCCGCCATCTCGCGTCGCCTGAGAGGCGCCGAGGCCTCGGCGTCCATTCCACACCCTCCCGAGGGCCCGCCTTTCACATTCGAATTTCGCGGAGCCCCGCCCCTCTCCGGGGCACCACCAATCACCACTAGGCGCTTCCGGAAGCCCGAGCTGGTGACCAGAGACTATCCCGCCCTCTCGGGCTCACTTCCGGATCCTGCGGAGGAAAACCAACCTCGGGCGGAGGATGCGTGCGCTCTCACGTTGGCGGCGCAGCTGTTGACGTCAGCGCCGCGCTCGCGGGCAAGGCCTGCGCGCCTGCCCCGGGAAGTTCCTGCGCGCTCAGCTGCCTGCGCCTCTGGCTCTGGTGCTTCCAGGCCTAGGTGTGCGTTAAGTGTACACTTTTCGCCTCACAGCTACAAATTGGTGCGAGTCAAGCAGCGGCCGAAGGCGTGTCTCAGCGCCCGAGAGAGCGTTCTCGCTGCTTTAGTGCCAACCGGGAAGATGCTGTCTGGAAACGGGAGTGTTCCAATCGACTGCCTTCATTTCCTGCAGTTTTTGTCTCCGAGGTTACTTGGCGATTCTGCGCATCGTGGGTCGTTTTGTGGATTGTAGGATTTGAGTGCGAGTCGACTGGGCCACAGCCTCTGGTCTGGGCTGTTAAGTTTGGACCACACGGGGTGGATTGTGGACGCGTACCTTACGCTTGCCTTTCTTTTTCTTGGGTCCGGTCGTGGGGCCTGAACTCTGGGCCTGGGTGCTGTCCCTCAGCTCTTCAGCTCAAGGCTAGCGCTCTACCACTTTTAGCCACAACTCCACTTCCGGCTTTTTTCTTTTTGCTTATGTGGTGCTGAGGAATCGAACCCAGGGCCACAGGCATGCAAGGCAAGCGCTCTACCACTGAGCCACCTTCCCAGCCCCTATGCTTGCCCTTTGCCGAGCCTAAAACCACTGCTTGTCCCCTTATGTCGCTTGTCCTGGCCCAGCACACTAGCTCAGCGCTCCTTACTAGGTAGCGGGCCTGCTTGACACCCAAGGTCTGAGGTCGACAAACTGTTAAATAGTTCTCCATCTCTTCTGGAAGCTTAGCCAGGGTTGACATAAACTAAACTTTGAATTTTACCATTATGAGCCACCCATCAAAAGCGGTTGGTGTTATTTGCTATTCTAGAATCAGGTAACAGTCATTTTATATGATAAAATGAGTGTTCCAATGACCCAAATACAAGAGGTTCGTTTACAAGCATTGAAAGAGGAGCTAAAGAAATAAACAGAGGGCTGGGAAGGTGGCTCAGTGGTAGAGCGCATGCCTTGCATGCCTGAGGCCCTGGGTTCGATTCCTCAGCACCACATAAGCAAAAAGAAAAAAGCCGGAAGTGGCACTGTGGCCCAAGTGGTAGAGCACTAGCCTTGAGCTGAAGAGCTGAGGGACAGCGCCCAGGCCCAGAGTTCAGGCCCCACGACCAGACCCAAAAAAGAAAAACAACAAAATGTGAAGCCAGGCGCTGGTGGTTCTCACCTATAATCCTAGCTATGCAGAAGGTTCAGATCTGAGGATTGCAGTTCAAAGCTAGCCAGGATAGACAAATCCAACAGACTCTTATCAACAAGTAACCACCAAAAATCTGGAAGTAGGAGTTGGGAAAGTGGCTCAGTGGTAGAGTGCTTGCCTTGCATGCATGAGGCCTTGGGTTCGATTCCTCAGCACCACATAAGCAAAAAAAGCCGGACATGGTAGAGCACTAGCCTTGAGCTAAAGAGTTGAAGTACAGCGCCCAGGCCTAGAGTTGAGGCCCCACAACCGACAAAAATAAAAAAATAAAAATAAAAAATCTGGAAGTAGTGCTGTGGCTCATAGTGGTAGAACTCCAGCCTTCAGTGAAAAAGCTCAGACAGCCCCCAGGACTTGAATTCAAGGCCTGAAAAACACAAAACAAAAACCCTTCAGAAAGTCTTTATTCTCATCTCAGAAAATGACTTCCTTCTCTTCCCAGTTAGCTGGTACTCCTTTACTCACAGTTAGGAATTCAGTTATTAAGTTCCTCAGTGTCTCCCTTCTACCCTCAATGTTCCAAATTCTTCATGGTATTACTGTCTTTGTTCAGACATTCATCATTCTCTAGTCCAGATTTAGTTTATTAACTACCTTCTTTTTCTGTTGTTGTTGGTCATGGGGCTTGAACTCGGGACCTGGGTGCTGTCCCTGAGCTCTTTTGCTCAAGGGTAGCACTCTACCACTTTGAGCCACTGCACCACTTCTGGGTTTCTGGTGGTTAATTGGAGATAAGAATCTCACAGACTTTCCTGCAGCAGATGACTTTGAATCCTCAAGCCTCAGATCTCAGCCTCCTGAGTAGCTAGGATTACAAGCATGAGCCACCCAGTGCCCACCTATTAACTACCTTCTTATTCTGCTTTACCTGCAGTCTTTTCTCTACTTAGCACAGAAAAATGATGCTTTTATAGAAATATTATCAGTTTTCTGGTTAAAATTTTGGTTCATTGGCTCTCTGTAGGCCATAAATGAAAGCTTAAAGTACTTAGTATGATATGATATTCATAATGCCTGCCTTTTCATGGTGTAAGCATTATGCCCACAAAGCTTTGGTCCTCAGCTCCACCCAGACCTGAGCTCCTCCCAGCCCTTGACTTCTCCCAGCCCTGGAGTTCCTGACATACAGCTGGCCTCTTCCTCTCTCCACCCAGACCCTTCTACCTCACTTCCTACCCCCAGACTCCCTTACTATGGGGAAAGGGGATAGGGACAGATGTCATGTGCTCCCTCTCCGGGGGAAATATGTCTCCTCAAACAAACTTTGTAATAATCTTTCTCCTGTGTCTACCTGCCTACTTGTGGATGTATGTGATGGATCCATTCACATGGGGCTTTATTCGTTGCCCAGATGCAAAATACATCTAGTTACCCACCTATATTTGGATATTTCCTTTCCCTTCCCTTCCCTTCCCCTTTCCCTTCCCCTACTCCTTCCCATTCTCCTCCCCTTCCCTCCCCTCCCCTCCCCACCCCTTCCCTTCCCTTCCCTTTTTTGTCGGTCTTGGGGCCTGCTCTGGACCTGGGCACTGTCCCTCAGCTCTTCAGCTCAAGGCTAGTGCCCTACCACTTGAACCACAGTGCCACTTCAGTTTTTTCTGCTTATGTGGTGCTGAGGAATTGAACCCAGGGCCTCATGCATGCTAGGCAAGCGCTCTACCACTGAGCCACCTTCCCAGCCCTTTTCTTTTCTTCCTGACATCCAGCCCTCCATTTCTGGGCTTTGTTCTTGCTAAGCACAAGTTCTACCACTTATCTATACTCTCAGCCCTGTAGTTTTCATATCTATCTATTTTTACATAAGCTGGGCTCTAGTATTGCTCACCTACACATAGCACACACACACACACACACACACACACACATATATGTACACACACATTCACACACATCCCTTCCTCCACAGTCTTCCTTGATACCCCCAGAAAAAATTTGGTTGGTTACTTCTTTGGGTGCCAGACCAAGGATTGGAACTGAGCTTCTGGGCACTGTCCCTGAGATTATTTTTGCTCAAGGATAACATTAACACTTGAGCCACTGTTCACTTCTGGCTTTTTGGTGGACTTTCCTCTCCAGGCTGGCTTTGAACTGCAATCCTCAGATCACAGCCTCCTGAGTAGCTAGGATTACAGGCGTGAGCCACTGGTGCCTGGCAACAATTTCAAATATTTGATTCAGCAATTTTTAAACTTTTTTTAAGTAAAGGATATTTTTCTTCAAATACAATGTTTTAAAGAAACCTTCTATGTAGACTAGCCAAAAGCCAGGACCTCCATTCAGTCAGTCATTTAATCTTCTGCTGTGGTAGCTTTACTTAGTACAGTGTGAAAACCACTGGTTTGAAGGCTATCATAGAACCAGACATCTGATTTGTCAAGGAAATCTGTTATATTAAGGAATAAAATACTGAGTTCCATAAAAGCATACTAAATAAATGAAACAGACACAAAAGCCCACATTAGGGCTGGGAAGATGGCTCAGTGGTAGAGCGCTTGCCTTGCATGCCTGAGGCCCTGGGTTCAATTCCTCAGCACCACATAAGCAAAAAGAAAAAAGCCGGAAGTGGTGCTGTGGCTCAAGTGGTAGAGCGCTAGCCTTGAGCTGAAGAGCTGAGGGACAGTGCCCAGGCCCAGAGTTCAGGCCCCACGACCAGACCCAAAAATAAAAAAATAAACAAAAGCCCACATTATTCTATTATTCCTACATGTAATGTGTAGATTAGGCAAATATAAACAAAGTAAATGACTGGTTACCAGGGATTTTTTTTTGGGTCCAGTCGTGGGGCCTGAACTCTGGGCCTGGGCGCTGTCCCTCAGCTCTTCAGCTCAAGGCTAGCACTCTACCACTTGAGCCACAGCGCCACTTCCAGCTTTTTTCTTTTTTGCTGAGGAATCGAACCCAGGGCCTCAGGCATGCAAGGCAAGCGCTCTACCACTGAGCCACCTTCCCAGCCCCTGGTTACCAGGGATTTAAGGTCTTCCTTTTGGGATGCTGACAGTATTCTGGAATTAGAGGGATGATGGCTAGTTAACCTTGTGAATATCCTAGAAACCATTGAATTGTACACTTTAAGGGTATGAATTTTGCGTTATATATATCTCAACAAAAAAATTACAAATTACAGTGGCATAATCTGCTCCATGATATTAGATGTGTAGAAGAAATAAAGGAATTTGATATAAAGTAAAACAGAGTAGTCACAAGTTTATTTCTTTTTTTTCTTTTTTGTCAGTCATGGGGCTTGAACTCTGCCTGTGTACTGTCCCTCAGCTCTTCAGCTCAAGACAAACACTCTACCACTTGAGCCACAGTGCCATTTCCAGTTTATTGAGTGGTTTATTGGAGAAAAGAGTCCCACAGACTTTCCTGCCCAAGCTGGCTTCCAACCATGATCTTCAGATCTCAGTCTCCTGAGTAGCTAGGATTACAGGCATGAGCCACTGGTGCCCAGCATGTTTATTTCTATGTTAATATTTCTTTATATAATTGTATGTGACTATTATCTTTGCGTAACTGAGAAGAAATGTGATTCTCACAGTTTCTGTGAATAAATCTGTTGGGAGCAATGAGTAATTGTCTGTCACTCCCAACCCAAAGCTCTTATTAGTATTCTAGGACTAGGAAGTAGACGTTCTAAAATTTACTTCCAAAGCAACGTGTGTCTTTGCCTAAATCCATCCAGTCACCTTGATGTTTTTCTGAATTCTAAAGAACCCCTTATATTCTAACAACCAATAATAAAAATCTCACCACTTTGAGCTTTCCTGGTTGCTGTTGTTTTGTTTTTGTTTTTGTTTTTTTAATGCTGGTCCTAGGGCTTGAACTCAGTACATAAGTGCTGTCCCTGAGGGTATTTTGTTTATTTGGGTTTTTTTTTTGTGCTAAAGCCTAGTGCTCTACTACTTGAGCCACAGCTCCACTTCTGGCTTTGTGCTGGTTAATTGGAGATAGGAGTCATGAACTTTCCTACCTGGGCAACCTTTAAACCCCAGTCCTCAGGTCTCAGCCTCGTGATTAACTAGGATTACAAGCATGAGCCACCATAGCGTGGCTAGGATGTCCATTTTTAAGCATAGGTTGGACAGAATTTACCCTGTGCTATGGCTACATGAAGAAAGAATCCTAGCGCTGAAAAAGCTAAGCAAGAATACAAGGGTGACACCTGGGCCAGAGAATGAGGGCAGAGGCCTTAGGCATACCGACCGACTTAACTTCAGGAGTTAAGTTCTAGGATACTGTTCCAGGCTCACTACATTCTGTGAATAGATTTAAGTCTACCGAGTGAGGTGACATTCTTCTGGCTGTGAAGTACTTTATCAAGGGAAGTAGTAAGTAACACTTGAGCAGGAGAATAGAACACCTGAGGTTTTGGCAATAGATCAGTAGGCTTTACTGGAGCCTCAGAACTCCTGTTGGGTCAACATTTTTAGCAGTTAACCTTGAAAAGTGTTGGAGTAAACTGGAATCTTATCTCTTTCTGATAAATTAAAAGGAAACCCCCAAAGCCTGTACAGGTGGCTAATGCTATAATCCTAGCTACTCAGAAAGATGAGATCTAAGGATCAAGGTTCAAACCCAGCCTGGGAAGTCAAATCCAAGAGACTTTCCTCCAATGACCTAGCAAAAAGCTGAAAGTGAAGCTGTGGCTCAAGTAGTAGAGCACCAGCCTTGGGTGAAAAACCTAAGCAAAAGTATGAGGCCTTGAGTGCAAGCTCCAGGACCCGCACCAAGAAGAAATGAAAGAACGCTAGATTCTGATACTTCCCACTTTTTCCCAGGTTCATGTCCAATCAATAGCCAGAAATTAGGTTAGCATATTTTTACCAGCTTTAGCATTATCACTTTATTAAGTCATGTATGTGTATGGGGGTTAGTGATAAAAGAACTTGTGCCCACTAGAGCTACTGCCAAGGAGGAGGAGGAGGAGGAGTTTAGCAGCTGCTGCACTCACTGGGGTAGTAGTCCCAGTGCAGGCCAATGGCGTTGATGAGGGAACCAGCTCGGCCACTGATGAATCGTAGGACGGTATTGGGGTACAAGGGAGCAGCATTGAAACTCGTGCCTGTGTCTTTCCCAAAAGCTAGGTAGCGGTGCTGATCGGTCACAAAGACCAGCTTCCTCAAGTATCTCTTGTACTTGCCAGACACCTGGATCACTGATTCCCCAGGGTACAGGAAGATCTCTTCCAGGTCTCCCTGCTTCCCACCTACATAGTCGCTCCACACCTTGCCATAGCGCACCTGGAGACTGGGGGTAGGGTTGAGGAGGAAAGGAAGAAAGACAAGTTTATCAATGTTCAGAACCTCTTTTTTTTTTTTCCTTTTGGTGTCAGTCCTGGTGCTTGAACTCAGGGCCTGAGCACCGCCCTTAGCTCTTCACTAAAGTCTACCACTCATCACTTGAGCCACAACTCCACTTCTGGCTTTTCCGGTGGTTAATTGGAGGTAAGAGTCTCTTGGACTTTCCTGCCTAGGCTGTCTTCAAACCTTGATCCTTAGATCGCAGCCTCCTAAGTAGCTAGGATTACAGGCGTGAGTTCACCAGGACCTGGCAATTCTAGGGGTCTTTGATGTGCTAAGTTTTTGTATGTTGGAAGAGGTGAACTTAGTACCTAACTCTGAACAGCACAGATCTAGAATCTTAATACCTGTTACTAGTTACCTGTTATCCCCCTTGGTGATTGAAGCAGATGTGATCCAAAGTGAATGAAGACTTTTCAGTTTAGTAAGATCAGAGAGGATCTCCAAACCATATGAACTCAGTCTTACCCTATCTTTTTTTTTTTTTTTTTGGGTCCGGTCGTGGGGCCTGAACTCTGGGCCTGGGCGCTGTCCCTCAGCTCTTCAGCTCAAGGCTAGCACTCTTCCACTTGAGCCACAGTGCCATTTCCAGCTTTTTTTCTTTTTGCTTATGTGGGGCTGAGGAATCGAACCCAGGGCCTCAGGCATGCAAGGCAAGCACTCTACCACTGAGCCACCGCAGTCTTACCCTACAATGTAGTAATTGTTGACACGGACACGGATGGCAGTGATTGGGCCTTCCAACTGGTTCCCAGAATGGGAGAAGCGCTGTCCTCCACTACCTCCATACTCCCCATTATAGGAGGAGGATCTGGGCCGAACTGGAGGGGAGAGAAGGATTTAGAGAGTGAAATCTCCTGGAGAGCTCAGTTGCTTCCCACCATTCCCATTCTTTCCATCACCTCAAGTCAACTTGTCAACACTTTGACCAACAGCAATATAGAAGCTGTCTTCTTGGAGCCCTATTACCATCTTACTTACTGGCATTGGCAGAGGCTGAGGCACAAAGAAGGACTAGGAGAGCAATGGTCAACATTCTGGGGCTGGAATGGGAAGGAGAAAAGGATGATTCTTTTTTCTCTAAACTTAATGTATACTATAGGCATTCTTGGCCTGCCATTTGGGCCTGAACTTTTCAGTCTTTTTATTCATACCAAGCAGATCTCAGTCTTGAGCCTACAGAAAACCGTTCATCAATAGTCCTGTGCCTCTTAAATACCTGTCTTCTGTGTCCTTAATCCCTTTGGCTTTCCCTGTGGCCATCCTTTTCCCCTAACTCTGTCCACGTTTAGAAGAGTCAAGCCCCCTTCCATCCTCACACCAAGTAGGAGTCTCATTTTCCAAAGAGGAAGAAAAGGACATTCCCAAAATGTAAGGATGGTTTAGCTTTTCAGACTAACCATATGAATAAAACTAGCTGAAGCTAGCTTGTGGTAGATTAGTCTATGGAACAATATTTTTTTTGGGGGGGCGGGGGGTGTCGATCCTGGGGCTTGAACTCTGCGCTTGGGCGCTGTCCCTCAGCTCTTCAGCTCCAAGTGAGCACTCTACCACTTGAGCCACAGCACCACTTCCAGTTTTCTGGTGGTTAATTGGAGAGAAGAGTCTCACAGATTTTCCTGCCTGGGCTGGTTTTGAACTGTGATCCTTATATCTCAGCCTCCTGAGTAGCTAGGATTACAGGCATGAGCCATGGATGCCTGGCTTGGAGCAAGATTTAATCCCTGGCTCCCCCACCCCCAGCTCTCAAATCAGAAGGCATTTTAGAGGTGCCTCTGTGTCACTTAGGGACTGTTGCTAGCAATAGAAGAGATGGTGGGGACACCAGTGTCCCAAGAAGCTGCTGGGATAGGCCAAGAAGTTGCGGAAAGATTTGGGATGAGCTCAAGATATTAGATCCCAGGTGTCTGGTCTACTTAAAACTAGCTCAGATCCATATGCCCCATTTCACTATCACACAATGCTCCTCTTCCACTCAGTCCAGCTCAGATTTGAATCCCTCCCCACCAATTCAGTCCTTACCTCCCAGGGTCAGATGCAAAGTAACCCCCCAGAAATTTCCAGATCTTTTATACCAAGCGTAAGCCCTTCCCCTGCCCTTTATCGTGCGAACCTCACCTCCTGGGCAAATATGATCAACCTCTTAGGATTAGATGTCACACAGAGTCTGGAACATCTTATCCACCCCTCCTCCAATGATTACAAAGTGGGATCCACTCCAGGCTAATTGCCCAATTGCAGAAGGGATAGAATAAACTTTAGAAAAGTCAGCAACTGCCAGGCGCCAGTGGCTCATGCCTGTAATTCTAGCTACTAAGGAGGCTGAGATCTGAGGATCACGGTTCAAAGCCAGCCCGGGCAGGAAAGTCCATGAAACTCTTATCTCCAATAAACCACCATAAAACTGGAAGTGGTGCTGTGGCTCAAGTGGTAGAGTTCTTGCCTTGAGCTGAAGAGCTGAGGGACAGCACCCAAGCCCAGAGTTCAAGCCCCACAACCAACAACAACAAAAAAAAAGTGGGCTGGGAAGGCGGCTCAGTGGTAGAGCGCTTGCCTTGCATGCCTGAGGCCCTGGGTTCGATTCCTCAGCAACACATAAGCAGAAAGTAAAAAGCCGGAGGTGGCGCTGTGGCTCAACTTGGTAGAGCGCTAGCCTTGAGCTGAAGAGCTGAGGGACAGCGCCCAGGCCCAGAGTTCAGGCCCCACGACCGGACCCCCCCCCAAAATAAATAAATAAATAAATAAATAAAAGAAAAGAAAAAGAAAGAAAATTAAATCACCTGAAATCTGTTCTCTGTCATGATAAACATTGCCTTCTGCAGGCAATGTTGAAATATAAATTTTCAGAAAAGGAATGCATTCCCAACACTTTATAGTGATCAGTGCCTACCATTTACTTAACATTTTTTTCTTTCCTTATACTGATACTTCATTATGAAAAATCCAAACATAAAGTTTAATGACTTGTAAAGGGAGCACTCATATAACTCCCATACAGATTCTACCATGATTCATACTTGATATATTTTCCCTCCCATCCATCTATTAATCTGCAAGACCTTCCCAAAACTCTTCTTTGCCAGGCACTGGTGGCTCATGCTTGTAATCCTAGCTACTCAGAGGCTGAGATCTGAGAATGATCATTTAAAACCAGTCCAGGGGGGCTGGGAAGGTGGCTCAGTGGTAGAGCGCTTGCCTTGCATGCCAGAGGCCCTGGGTTCCATTCCTCAGCAACACATGAGAAAAAAGAAAAAAGCCGGAAGTGGCGCTGTGGCTCAAGTGGTAGAGCGCTAGCCTTGAGCTGAAGAGCTGAGGGACAGCGCCCAGGCCCAGAGTTCAGGCCCCACTACCGGACCCAAAAAACAAAAACAAACAAACAAACAAAAACAGTCCAGCCAGGAAAGTCTGTGAGACTCTTATCTCCAATGAACCACTAAAAAGCTGCAAGTGGAGCTGTGGCTGGAGTACTAGAGCTCTAGCCTTGAGGAGAAAAAAAAAAAAAAAGCTCAAGGACAGTTCCTGGGCCCTGAGTTCAATCCCAGGACTGGCACAAAGCAAAACAAAAAAACCTTTTTTTTTATGAAAGGGGTGACTTAGAGCCGCACATGAACCCCGAGCCTGCATGTTTCCTCCTCTTCCAGAAAGTCTTGTGGGTAAAGAGGGAGCTGAGGAATGAAGGTTTATGGGTCCTTCTCAATGGATTTGGAGTTCTCAAGTCTCCTAAGACATCATGGCCGTGTCTATAGGACCATTTTTTTTCTCCTAAGGTCTGTAATATACCAACGATGGTGCTATAGATTTCTTCTCTCTTTAGGCCCTTCTCTTCCAGGCTGGAATTCTCTCAACCTAAAGTCCCTGGAACTGATCCATAAGTCCTACTGCCTATCTCCTATATGATTTGCCCTCTGACCTACTGAATCCACACAGCCTTCCTAGTGGCAGGAAGGATGGAGCCCAGGGAGCAGCTGGAATAAGCAGTATCAGTCCTTACTGACCAGAAGCTAAGCATTCAGAGCACCCTGCCCCTGCCCTTACAGGTTCACCATCTGGGCCTAAAGAGTCATCCCAGATAGCAAAAGGAGTCCTGCCCCGGGGAGCGGAAATAGGGTGTGGCTCTTGGGTGGTAGATTCTCGGAGAGGAGCCAGACTTGCTGCCAAGGATGCCTCTCCAAGTTCCAGATAAGCATATCCTGGTGACATAATTTTGACCTCATTCTTTTATTGTTATTGTTTTTGGTTTTTACAGGCTCTTGCCTTGTAGCTCAGGCTGGCTTCAAATAGATGATCCTAATGCTTCGGCCTCCTGAGGGCTGGAATTATAGGCAAGCACCATGACCCATCTTTGGATGTTTTGTTTAGTTATGCCCTTGTACTCTCTTTGTCTCCCTCTCCCCCACCCCTCTCTCTGTGTATGCCAATCCTGGGGCTTGAAGTCAGGACCTGGGTACTGTCTCTGGCTTTTCTGCTCAAAGCTAGTGTTCTACCACTTGTGTCACAGCTCCACCAATGACTTTTTTGGGGTCAGTTGGGCTTGAATTCAGGACTTGGGTGCTGTCTTTGAGCTTCTTTGTGCTCAAGGCTAGCACTCTACCAGCCTAAGCCATAGGGCCACTTCCAGTTTTTGAGTGGTTAATTGGAGTTAAGAGTCTCACTGGGACTTTTTTTTTTTGACCTGGGCTGGCTTCCAACTGTAAGCCTCAAATCTCAGCCTCCTGAATAGCTAGGATTACAGGTGTGAGCCACCAGCACCCAGCCACTTCTGACTTTTTGATGGTTAATTTCACATAGAAATCTCATGGGCCAACCACAGTGGCTCATGCCACCAGTGCTTCAAAAAAATGCTTTAGGTCTGGGAAGTTGGCTCAGTGGTAGAGCGCTTGCCTTGCATGCCTGAGGCCCTGGGTTCGATTCCTCAGCACCATATAAGCAAAAAGAAAAAAAGCCAGAAGTGGCGCTGTGGCTCAAGTGGTAGAGTGCTAGCCTTGAGCTGAAGAGCTGAGGGACAGCGCTCAGGCCCAGAGTTCAGGCCCCACAACCGGACCAAAAAAAAAAAAAAAATGCTTTAAAGTATATTTCCAAATAAACAACAAGATGTCTGTCCTGTTTAGAAAAAGGAAAGAAAGAAAAATTCTGTGGGGCACTGAATCCTAGTTACTCAAGAAGCTGAGATCTGAGGATTGGGGTTTAAAGCCAGCTCGGGTAGGAAAGTCTGTGAGATTCTTATCTCAAAAAACTATTAAGAAAGCTGCAAGTGCTGTGGCTCAAGTAGTAGAGTGCTAGCCTTGAACAAAAAGGCTCAGGGACAGCACCCAGGTCCTGAGTTCAAGTACCAGTACTTATGCACAGAAAGAATGTTTTCTTCCTATTTGCTTCCGTATCAGTCTTCCACACAAGGAGGAACGAAAAGTCTTACTTAGCATAAATCACATTTGAGAACTTCTTCTTTTTTTTCTCCCCAGTCCTGGGGCTTGAACTCAGGGCCTAGGCACTATCCCTGAGCTTCTTTTGCTCAAGGCTAGCATTCTACCACTTGAGCCATAGAGCCACTTCCAGCCTTTTCTGTTTATGTGGTACTAAGTAAGCAAATTCAGGGCTTCATGTATGCTAGGCAAGCATTCTACCACTAAGCCACATTCCCAGCCATTTGAACACTTCTTTTCTGCTCATCCTTAACTGTTCCCATGAATAAGCCAGTGACTTGGTGAAGTTGTAAGGGCTGTCCCTCCACCCCCTCAGCCCCACAGCCCAGCCCTGTGCGGGCTTATGGTGGGTCATCTCCACTTATTGCTCAAGTTCCCCTAGCTACCTGAATCCCTTCCCTTCAGTCCATCTGGTAGCCTCATGTCTGCTCAGAGGATCCCTCCATGGCTCCATGCCCACCTTTCCTCCCAGCTCCTCCTCTTCAAATAGAATTCCTCCTTCCTTCCCCCGGCCTTCCTTGATGCTTCCTACATTGCCCTCCTATGACTCAAATTACTCTTTATAGTCATTTATCTGTGTACTCTGATAAAGTCCTCCTCAACTAAATTGAGGCTCCTAGCACCCCAACTG